TCAATTCAAACCAGAGCATCTTCTAGACACATTGTCATTAACCTGGCCAAAGTCAAAATGAATGAGAAAACTCTGCAAGCAGCCAACCAAGCATGAGCAGCAGCTCACCTACACGGGAAAATTCATCTGGGGCACAGCCAACAAACCAGAAGAGAACACACTCTCATCACCAATTTTCTCAAACAAAACTATCCCAAAGTGAGGATTCTGTACCCTGAGAAACTAAGTTTCATCTTTGATGGAGAAATCAAATCTTTTAATTTCAAGCAAACATTGAGGAAATTTGCCACTACGAGACCAGCCCTGCAGGAAGTACTCAGGCCCATACTATACACATCCCAACACAATGGACAACCAGCAATATAAGGACACCTGGAAACTGAAGCACAAGGCCTAGCTTCCACATTCCCCAAATGATAAAACAAGGCAACTGAGTTTCACATAGGAGATGAACAGGACTCCACACTTATCAGTTCTCTCAATAAATGTAAATGGCTTAGATTCTCTAGTGAAGAAGCACACATTAAATACCTTTGGATTAAAAGCAAACTTCTAGAACTTTAATTAAAAAGTGAACATGTCCATGAGTATTGCTAACCTAACTTCAAACAGAACAGAAATCAGTTACACAGGACTGGGTAAGTTTGTTATGACTTTTTGTTTAAAACATTATTGATTCTCTATGTTCTGTTTTCTAGAAGTCAAGAAAACCATTTTCTGTCTTTTGAACTATTTGAAGCTTTTAGTTTTTAATTTTTACTTTTGAGACAGAGCCTTAAGCTGTAGCCCTGGGTAGAATGCTGTGGTATCACAGCAACCTCCAGCTCCTGAGCTCAAGTGATTCTCATGCCTCTGCCTCCCAAGTAGCTGGGACTACAGGCGCCTGCCAGAACGCCTGACAATTTTTGGTAGAGATGGGGTCTCACTCTGGCTCTCACTCTGGCTCATGCTGGTCTCAAACCTCTGAGCACAGGTGATCCACCCGCCTCAGCCTCCCACAGTGCTGGGACAACAGGTATGAGCCACCATGCCCGGCCAAGTCACAATTTCTAAACAATAAAATCTCTTTAAATGTATTTTTGCTAACCTGGTATAATATTCTATTATAGCTGAAAATTTCTCTAATATTGCTATAGATTCAGACATTCACCTACCTGATGGATATCAAACCCTGGGCTCACTCAATTCAAACCAGAGCATCTTCTAGACACATTGTCATTAACCTGGCCAAAGTCAAAATGAATGAGAAAACTCTGCAAGCAGCCAACCAAGCATG